TAAATAGTCCAAAGTAGAATATAAGAACCTTGGATGGGTATATGTAAAACAGGGGTTTATGATTCATATCAGTAACAACTTAGGCAAAAGGATGGAGGCTGACTGAGATGAGCGAGATCCATACGATGGGCTTATCTTAAAGAGGCCTAGGATGACTTTTCTAAATTGTCTATATTCAGGCTTATCAAGCTAACCTTTTGGGGTGGTGAATTAGCTAAAAATTAGTCAAGTTGAGCTAAAGCCCAGAATAATTTTTTACTCAAGCGTGTTTCTTTCTAAAGTTGGGATCCTTCTCTCTCACATTCAATTAGAAAATACCCCACTATTACTTATCACATCTACTTCAAATAAAATAATATCCTACTATCTCCTTTCACATCAAGTAACATATGATAACCAAATTACACTTAATCACCGAAAACTGTGTCATGATATGTGTCAAAAAGTCAGAACTAATTTGAGATGGAAAGAGTATTAATTTTATAGATTCCTTCATGGTATTAAAAGTCAAGCTTTCAGGGAGAATACAGTACAGAAATCAAATTGGCTAAATGAAATGGCTCTGTAGTATCTTTCATATTTTCAAACTGGACAATTGGGTTTTGGATCAAATCTTGAAGTATAGTTTTTTTAAACCTATATTCTGATTCTGTTTTGCTACCTCCCATCTCCTCTCAGCTCCCAGAGGAACGAAAGCTAGATCTGCTCAAAAATCTAGCTGAAAGTTCTCCATATACCACACCACAGGATGCACGGCAGATCCTTCCTTCTATTGTTCAGCTTTTAAAGGTATGTGTTGTGTTACCTATTTCATTTGTTTTTGAAATGCAGGATGTAAATTCTCATAATATTTCCAGACAAAGAAAAGGCTAATATTGTGTACATGTGGTTATAGAGTATTGGCTCTTAGAATTTCTTTTTTTTGAAATTTGTTTCAGAAGTACATGCCTCGAAAGAGGACTGGGGAAGAGATGAACTTCACTTATGTTGAGTGCTTATTGTACACGTTTCATCATTTGGCTTCAAAGGTTATAGTTTGCTCACTATCTGTCTTTCTTGTCCCTCATTATGTATGAGCTTTTGTTGTTGTTTTTCATACTAAAGGTAGTTTTCTCTTGGTCGATTGCATTCAGGCTCCCAATGCTTCCAACAGCTTATGTGGTTACAAAATTGTAACTGGCCAACCATCAGATAGGATTGGTGAAGATTTCTCAGAATACTATAAAGACTTCACTGAGAGGTAATTGAAATCTATTACACTTGATTTCCCTATGATGTTTCATTGATAATAAAAATAGTGATTAGTGAAATCAGATTTAGTCAATGTCCAATGGTTTTTAAATAGCAAGGATCAAGAGACTTTAAGCATAAATTTCTTGTTTGACTAGTCCTGGTAAAGGTTCACCCTTGAATAGTGGCACAACAATATCCATTGGACTTTTGATGCTACATACTTAGGTCAAGGACTTGGGGGGCCAGGTCCCAGCCTGCCTTACCCGGGAATTGAGGCTGGGTGCAGTGACCTGAGCACTAGTAGATTTCAGGAAGCTTTTTGTCACTTGTTGAGTGTTGACTTGTCCTGAAACAGCCTCTTGTGCTTACTTGGGAAGGTGTTGTGTGACTACCTATTTATGCTTAGGCATACCTGGATCTTTAGAATGATTTCAAGGTATTATCTAGTTAGTCCCTTTGCTCTAAGATGGAACTTCAAAAGTTTCCTTTCAGTTGCACGAGTTTGATGACTGGTTTCTTCTTGTAGATGTTAGGGAAATTATAAATGTTGCTAGTAAATCTTAGTTTTGATTTGGGATTGGGTAGGGAGATGTGGATTCACAAATTCTTATTGGCGCTTGCTAAAGTTAACTAAAGAGTTGCAACCCTTCCATCCATTCATCCGAAGCATGTAAAGCCTGTTACTTTTACTTCATGTTTTCTTGCAAGAGGTTATCACTGGTTAATGTTATTATAATTTGGTTGTACAGGTTGAGTTGTGTTGAGGAGCTCTCTAGGGCTACGATGAAAAAGTTAACTCAGGGTATGGATGAGCAAAACAAGAGGATGGCATCCGCTTCCAATGAAGTTAAAGACAAGATTGTAAGTAATATTAATTGTCTTCATACTACATTACTGCATCTCAATGCCACAACTTTAAAAAAATGAGGGAGGAGAAAAGAGAGGGGGGGGGGTGTAATCCTTCACTTGCAGCAACCTACTTGGTATTTGGTAAGCACTACTAAATGGTGGTAGTTGTAATGAGCTCCCTGGTGATGCTGATTGAACGTAAAGTTATGCAGAAAAACACATTGTTTAGATTGTTAAGGTGGAGAAGCATTACCAGGGAAAATGTTTTGGGACTTCCCTTGCAAATTATTTGTAAACTAGTTATCATTACCCCATTTATTATTTTATATCAAAAGTACAGTTACTTTAAAAGATTAAAAGAATTAAATTTTTTATAAGAATACTTGAGAGGATTACTAGTTCTAGACCCCGATATGGAGTGATTTTTGTTTTGATGTTTGATTAAAGTAATTTTATAGAATAGATTGTAGGGTACTAGGGTGTGTAATATTAATCACATTGTATGTGACTAACTGACTATGTCTTTAATTTTGTGCAGAAAACTGAAAAACAAAATGCTACGACAGGATTGAAAACCTGCAACAACATTCTGGCTATGACTCAGGTATGAAAAAACTAGTACCTTCAAGCCTGCGTCCTTCATGAAGTCTCAAAGGAGTCTACTTAACTTGTGCTTTTTCTGATTCAGCCACTGCATAAAAATTCACCTTCATTTATTGGTGACAAGAGGATCAACTTATCATGGAAAGAACCAGTAAAATCAGCTGTCCCTTCAGTTGCTGCTAATGCTGGGTGAGAATTGCATGCCAACACATAGCTTGTATCTAACCATAATTGTAACTTCTTCTTGGGTACATGGCCACTCTTAAAAACCGAGCAAGAAATCTTAATCACTAAAATCTAGATTCTACTATCAATGTACTTGTACAGTGGGCTAACAATACCATTTTTTTAAAAAAAAAATCCCAATTCTCAAATCCTGCTGGTGATGCTGTTCATGCCTATCGAGAACTGAGTACTTAGCCTAATAAGACATCTTAATTACTGGAACTAGGTTTACCTGATAAATTTTACGATCAATATCTCTGGAAGAACAATATCATTAAATAAATAAAAAAAAAAAAAAAAAACTCAATTCTTGAATCCTGCTGGTCATGTTGATTAGTGATGCAGGGGTAAATGGCCATTCTTATGTATCGAGCTTAGTTACCCTAATAAGACATGATAGACATCATAATTACTGGGCTATTAGGAAAGAGATTCATTATGGAGAACTAAATGTTTCTTTTATGAGACTTGTTGTTACTTGGGTGAAATAACCCCCGTACAGTGTTAAAATTTCAACATATGATAAATTATTTTCTGTTAAATATGTATAATTTCTAGTATCTGAATTATATATTAACATCACTCTTGGGAGGTGGGGTGGAGGGGCTGCTCCGGTCAATAGCATTTGCCTGTTAGTAAAGAATAATTTGTTTGTATGTACAGAGACTATTCGTGATCTCATAGGCATGATATGGGTCTTTTCAGAGGCTTCCCTGAACATATCTGTACTTTATTTGAGATGTGTGCATCGTTGTTTCTTTGGCTAGATTTAGTAAATTCTTGTACTTTTACAGGGTAAAACGACCTGCTGGTGCTGCTGTTAATGGCTCCAACAGCAATGCAGCCAAAAAAGGTTGTGGAGCTGGAGGATTTCAGAACCAGCTTGTTAACAGGGCATTAGATGGTATTTCCCACGGAGGGAGAGGAGGAGGTGGTGGTAGAGGGGGCAGGGGAAGAGGAGGCTGGGGTGGACGTGGTAGAGGGAGGGGCTACAGGTAAAATTCCCCGGATTCAGTTTCTTTTGATAATTGACGTGCAATTGGAAGTGGAAGAATAGTTGGTTGGAACTCGGATAGCTATATACAAGGAACGCGGCTGTGCCATAGAATGTACCATAACTGCTCTTGACTGGCAAATGACAAAATTTTCATTTAGGGAAGGCGGTTGAGCTGATGTTTAGCATGTACTTTAGTAGGGTTGGGATTTACTTTATTACATTCTTAACTTAAACAATTGTTTAATTTGAGACATTTTTTTGGTCCTTTATATTTTTATCATTCCTCAGGGGGGATTGTATTTTGTAGCTGGCCTTCATGAAGTGCCCCTTCTTTGACGTAGTTATCCATAGTTTGTGGGATTTTGCTTGTGTTTTTCTTGGTAATAGTTTTGATGTTAGTGCTTAGCTACGCAGATAGACGAGATAGTTCTACAACACAACAAAATCGGATTAAGTAATCGTATGCGTTTCTGTAATACCTTTAAATAGCATGATCCTAAGCATTCCTACGCGTTTCGTTTTGGAGTAAAACAAGCTTACACTGTAAAAGACATGATCTACCCATAACCCATCGGGTTACCCGTTCTTACTTAAGTTTAGAGATAAAAAGGGTTACTAAGACCATTCTCAGCAGTGAGGAAAAAAAAAACCTCTCAATCTCTCTCTACCCACTTTCTCACTCCTCCCATACAATTTCTCTCATCAAATGTTTTTTTCACCACAGCAATGAGGAGAAAAAAAACCTCTCATCACTTTCTCCTCCACTATTTTTTAATTTATTTTTTAATTACGTTTAAAAATAATTTAATAAAAATTTATAATTACGTTTAAAAATATTAATAATACTAACTGGATTTTTTTTTTATAAGAAATAATTATAATAATAATAATAACAAGAAGAAATTGGGAAAATATGTTAATTTCTCTAATTTATGGGTTTTTTTGAAAGTATATCAAAATGCATGTCTATTTATAGAGAAAAAATTTTTATGGTCGTTGGTGAATTTTTTATTTTTTTTTAAAATAATTACAACGGTTATATTTCAAATACAAAATATAACCGTTGTAAAAAAACAACAAAAGCAGTGGGGGCCACATGTTACCGTTCATCACCAAAAGCCCTCAACTCTTGAGGGTTTTTATTTTCACTCATCGGTGAGTGTTTTTTCACTCACTGATGTAGTATTCGGATTTTTTTTTTACACCCTTATTTTTACTTGTGAGGGCTTTTCTCCTCACTGCTGGGAGTGCTCTAAGACACATTATAGTTCAAACAGAAGAAAGTACTTTGTGTATGAGTATGTGAATTAGCTTGTAGACTTGCACAAAACATCGGAAATTCTTGATATAAAACAAAAAATGATACAAGAATTTCCTTTTTCATATACTTGGTGAATATGACAGGCCAAAAGAGCAAGTAATCATTTCTTTCTTTAAATGGGAAACTCTCAATGCTTTAGCAGTAAACATTTACCAATTTCCTCTCTCCTTATTAACCATCATGTACTTGTATGAACTGAAATTCAACCATATATTATATGATCTTCTGCCAAAAGATATGCTCTCTTAATCTCTTTAATATTTACTGTACTTGATTCCAAAACTCCATTTCTCTTTCCTTCAATTTCTCTTTCTCTAAGCTTCTATCTTTCTAAGCTTAGCTCTAGTAAAAATGGCAAAAAAATGCCAATGGTGTAAAATTAAGGAAGATTACCATTATTGGCGTGATTTGCCTTCAACAAATCACCAATTTCTTGTGATCATGGCCAACAATTTCCATCAACAACTGGTAATTTTCATGCTATTTACCATTTTATTTAACTCATTATTATTAGCCAAGTTTTTACTTGATTATTTATTTATTATTTTGGTAGAAAATTACTCTGAAGTTTCTTGCATATTTTACAAGAACATAATGTGTGATTGTGTATAAAGAAAAGTGCAATCACCGAGAATTTCCTTTGTTAGATTTGAATTTACTTTCAAACCATCTTAATATCAACATTTTATAGAACTAGTAAAAGGTAAGCATAGAAAGAGTGTTAAGCTTGAATGTTTAATTGTGCATTACCTAGCTTTAAACTTCAAACTAGTGTGTAGCCCGGGCGTTCGTACCAGATGATTACTTTAATTATTCTTGTAATTATATGCATTTGATATTTATAACGTTTTTTTTTTAAAAATAAACCTTGTGTCTTGTAATTATCAATTATATATATTTATTTTGATGATTATAACATATTTGATAGTTGGATTAGATGTTAAAATAACCATCTTTCTTATAAGAAAGAAGTTGGGTATTCGAATCCCCTTATCTTTTATTACCCAAATCATCACAAGGCTTTTTTTTTTTTTTTTTTTTTTTTTTTTTTTTTTTTTAGAAAATTCCTCAAAAATTCATAGTATGTTTCAAAGAAAAACTCTCAACATGGTGTACTCTAATCGGACCAAATGAAAACACATGGAAAGTGATGTTTGTTGGTGATTTGATGAAATTCTCTCATGGATGGGAGAAGTTTGTTAGTGATCATGGAATAGAAGTCAATGACATTCTGGTGTTTCATTATGCTGGAGATTCATCGTTTAAAGTCTCTATATTCAACGGGGAGAATTGTTGTGAAAAGGAAGGCTCTCACTTTGCGAGTAATACTTCTTCTAGCTCGCAGAATGTTACTTGTTCAAGCTCTTTGCATTTCAAGAGGGCTGGTGACAACAATGGTTTGGGTACGAGTACTCCTGTTGCTGCTCCTCCTCCTGCTCCTAATCCTACTCCTGCTGCTGCTCCTGCTCCTGCTACTGCTGCTGCAGCTGTTGGCAGTTCGCAAAAACCCATTGTGGTTGATGAGGACGATGAAGGAACATATAATGCCAATGATCAAGATCATGACCATGACCATGACCACGAGTCTGAGTATGACACTGCTACTACTATTGATTTAAGTGAGGAAGATTATCAGACTGAGTCTGAGTACCAGCCTGCTGTTTGGAGGCGGAGAACCAGGGCAAGATTATATTACTCTACAACAGGTGATAAGTCTTATAGCACCATCTTTAAGAAATTATGTATTATGTGATTCAAATTGCATGTGTTCTGGTAAAGTTTGAAGGTTTACATGTTTTGATAATGCCACATTGATTGTCATGATATACATGTGCTACTTGCATTTCATGATATATGTAGCGCGATTCTTGAGAGGGAAATGTTGAACTGTGTTTGTAGAGCTATTATATCTGCATCTGGCTCAGTATACGTGCTCCTGTTGGGTCGTTGCTCATGAATGATGTATTTGTTGATTGTTGATTTTTTTTTTTTTTTTTGAAAAAGATTGTTGAGCAATTTTTAAGATGATCTAGAATGAAGTAGCAGCAGCAGTGGAGCAATTCAGCAATATATGCTCGAAACACATGTCCTGATAGTACAAAAAAGAGTTGGCTTGTTTTGATTGTATTAGTGGTGGAATAATTTTGACCTGATAATACAAACACATGAGTTTTTTAAGATGATCTTTGAGCTGAAAATTTTGGTGTTTGGAACAGGAGTAAAAATTCTCTCTTGGGCTAATGATCTCTTAATTGGATTTAGTTGATCCAATTTGTGAACACGCCGCTGTTCTAAATAGCTGATATAGAGGCATAGAGCGAAGTCAGTGAAATTGTTCACGAACAATTTATTTGTATGTTTTAATAAGAATGGACAATAAATCTTTAAGGCATTTAGCAATCATAGTAGAGCAAACACATGGGAAATTTCCTGTCAGTGTCATAACAATCACAGATTTACGAGCAGACTACAATCCTATTTGGAATAGTATAGCAAAATGTAGTCTGTCTGTGTATCTTAGAGTGATGTTTTGAATTGGTGATACAAATTACAAGACAATCTTTGGTGGGTGATTAAAATCATGAAGGTTGTGGCATTGTGTTCTTGATTATTTGCTGCATAATTCGTCTTTTGAAGCTGATATCGATGCAAAATGTAGTGTAAGGCTCAATCTATTACATACAAGAAATCAGAAAGTGCTATTACCTTGAATGTAGGCCAAATTTATATCTTTGAAAGAAATTACGTGACATACGAATTTTTTTCATTTCCAAGTCCTACGAATTTATCAGCATATTGCTATGCAGAAAAAACTTCTCGAACCAGAATATGCTACGTATTTAATCAGAGGGAACCTACAGAAGAAGAAAAGGAAAGAGCTGTGGAAAAGGCTACAAGATTTATGAACACTAAAAGATATACTGAGAGAGAGAACAAGATTCCGAGCCCGCCTATGCTTCAGATAACCTTGCGGCCTACACATGTTTACAGGGGATTTATGCTGGTTTGTTTTTCTTTCTATACCCTTAAGTTATTTTTAATTAAATTTTTTGTTTAAGCTATTGTGAGTGTATAAGCTAATGCTCGTAACTCATCAACGAGTTGCCAATGTTTAAAGGCTTCGAACATGTTAGAAGGACTATGCTACATTTGCCCGTTGGGTAATCCATCCACTAGTTAGAGAGGTTAAAATGTATTCTAAATTGTTGAGTTGGATTTCACTACGTTTTTATTTGTATACTAGTGCGTTACAAACCACGTACGTTTTTGATATGCTATAATTTAGTAATTTAACAACTTCTATATGTGGATGTGTAAGCAGACACTCCCAAAGAAATGGGCAATAGAGCATATGGTCCATGGCTCTCAGGACGTGAAGCTGCAGGTCGGAGACCGAAGCTGGATTGTTGGATACAGATTGACTAAGTCTCATAATACGGTTGTTCACTACTTCAATCCAAACTGGAAAAGATTTGTGCTTGACAATAATTTGGAGGAACACGATTCATGTGTGTTCGAGCTGATTCAGAAAGGGTGCTTATCCGTCTTTAACGTCTACATATTTCGTGCCATTGATGAAATTGTTCCCTTGACACGGTCAAGTTTCAGACCTTAAGCTGATTGAAGTACAATGACAAGGAAGATTGAACTACAAAAACAAGTACTCTGTAGTTGCTAGATAACAAAGCTTATTTGAACTTTTACTACTAAATTAGATGGTTTAATTTGTATATTTTGATGCTTAGAACTTAGAAGTTGGCCTAGAAAATATTTGAGTAGGAATTAAGGTAAACCAGCAGTTTATTGAATGTATTGATCTTGTTTGTGCATGTATGATATTTAGACTTGGAGCAACACCTCTGTTATTTGATCCTATTAAATTGAGTTTTTATGATTTCAAAATTGATTAAATTAACTTTTTTTTTTTAATGATTATTTGTAATGATCCTTATAGATAGAATAAAGGAAGCATGGACATTTTACACAAAAACACATTACTCAGCTCCCTCTATCCCCTTGTTTGCTCTTAGGGGTGTAATTTTGTACAAAAAATTTGGTTGGATAGAGTTGACGGGAGTGAAACTTAGTGAACGTACAAAAAGTTATGATTCATAGTATGAGGTGAATTCAGAAGGATAAATTAAAACCGTGATAATTTCAAGGATTGGTGAGTGGAGAGAGTAGAGAATAAAATTGAAGAGGGTTATTACTAATTAGTGCTTGTTTGGTTTATCTTTAAAAATGAGGGAAAGGAAAATTTATGAGAACAGTGGCGGAACCAAGGGGGGTTGGCATGGGCCATGGCCTCTCCCTTGGTTTTGGTTATGTATTAAACGTTGCTTTTAACATTTTTTTTAGTTTTTATTTAATTTATGTTAAGTGTGTCATAGTTCAGTTGGTAATAGAGTAATTAGATATATTTTAGAGGTCTTAGGTTCGTAGCTTGCTCCTAACATTTTTATATTTTACTATCCCTTACTCTCTGAAATAATTGGATTTATGGTGCAACTTATTTATTTTATGATCATCTAAAGACTTGTATGAATGTATGGTGTAATATTACGTATTAATTAGATAATCTCACAATTTGATAATTTAGTTGAGACTTTTTTTCGGTCATTGCTATTGTTTCATTCCTCGGGGATTGTATTTTCTAGCTGACCTTCATGACGTGCCTTCTTTGCCGTAAAAATCCATAGCTTGTGTTATTTTCCTTGTGTTTTGCTCAATAATAGCTTTGATATTAGTGCTTAGGTACGCAGATAGTTCCACAAATTTAATTACCAATTTAAAACAGGTACACTGCAAAATCGTATCGAGTAATCGTTTGCATTCAAGTAATAAGGCCCTATTCTTTTGAGGGCAGAGCAGAGCAGAGCAGATTTTAGCAGAGCAGATCAGATTTCAGCAGAGCCGAGCCGAGCCGAGCCGAGCAGAGCAGAGCAGAGCAGATTTTACTACTACTACTACTACTACTACTACTGCTGCTGCTGCTACTACTGCTGTTGCTACTACTGCTGTTGCTGCTGCTGCTGTTGCTGCTCCTACTACTACTACTACTACTAACTACTACTACTACTACTAACTACTACTACTACTACTACTACTACTAACTATTATTATTATTATTATTATTATTATTATTACTACTACTAAATATTATTATTATTATTATTATTATTATTATTATTATTACTACTACTAAATATTATTATTATTATTATTATTATTATTATTACTACTACTACTACTAATATTATCGCATTATTATTATAATCATTAAATTTTTAAAGTTAAATATTAATTATTATTATTATATTAATTATAATTATAATTATTATTAAATATTATTTAATTATTATTATTATTAAATATTATTTAATTATTATTATTATTAAAAATTAATAATTAGTATTATCTTTAAATATTAGTTATTATCTTAATATTAATTGTTATTATAAAAATCAATTATTGTTATTATAATTAATATTATTAGTTATAAGTATTATTATTACTATTAGTATAATTACTATTATTATTATTAAAAATTAATTATTATTATTAAATATTAATTATTATTAATATTAATATTATTATTAATAATAATATTATTAAATATTAATAATTTATTATTATTATTAAATATTAATAATTAATTAATTATTATTATTTTTTATTAAATATCAATAATTAATTATTGTTGTTATTATTATTAAGTATTAATTATTATTATTATTATTAAATATTAATTATTATTAAATATTACTTCCTCCGTTCTTTTTTACTTGACCCGCTTTGACTTTTACACTATTCACCAACCCACTTTTGACCGTATTTTGTGAATTATAAGTAAAGAAAAACATATTCATGTAGGATCTTATTAGAATCGTCTAAATAAGTACTATCACAATATATAACTTTTATAATATTTACTTATAGAGTATTAAAATTATTGATGGTTAAACTTGTGCATTGGCAAGCGTGATAAAAGAAACAGGTCAAGTAAAAAAGAACAGAGGAAGTAATTATTTATTATTATTCTTATTAAATATTTATTATTATTATTATTAAATATTATTTATTTATTATTATTATTAAATATTAATTATTATTATAATAATTCAATATTAAGTATGAATTTTAAGTAGAGCAGAGCATAGCAGGCTAGGGATGGCAGTGGGTCGGGTTAAATGGGAGACCCGCCCCATCTCTGCCCAAGTGGGGCGGGGATGGAGGGAGGTTTGGCGGGTGATGGGTATAAATTGTGTACCCGTCATGGGTGATGGGGCGGGTATGGATTTTAGAGTAGACCCGCCCCATATCCGCCCCGCCCCGTACCCATCTTATACCCGCACCATATTTCTTTTAAAACATTTTATAATTTATGAAATTTGATACCCTCTAAGACCCAATAAACTTAAATAATGAAAGTCCCAATTTTCTTAACCTAATTTGATATAATTGTCATTAATGTGATACAATAGAGCATCATGGCAATGGGTTTGAGACGATTTTTGGGGCGGGTATGAGTTGGGTATGAATATCCAAGTGGGTGATGGGGCGGGATGGATCTTATCTTGTATCCGGTGGGGCGGGTATGGATGTGAATATTGTACCCGCCATGGGTGGTGGGGCGGGGATGGGTATAAGATTTTTAGGCGAGTATGGGTATAAGATTTTTAGGCGGGTATGGGTATGGAGGTAGCATCATCCGCATCCGACCCGCCCCATTGCCATCCCTAGGGCAGAGTAGAGCAAAGCAGATTTTCAGTAGAGCAAAACAACTCTAAAGAACGGGGCCTAACTCTAACTTGGATAGTCCCGTGCGATGCACGGTTTTAGCAATAAAATATTTGATAATAGATATTAGAAGACATGATGTTAAATATTCTAATTGAATTCATAATTAAAATAAAATTATAAAATAATGCTAGCATTAGTGTTTAGTGGTTAACATAAGAGGAAAGAAGGAAAAATGAAAGAGCCTACAACCAATTACGTAGTTAATTAGGTCTTGTTCCGATTGACTGAACTCAGCTGAACTGAACTGAACTGAACTGAACTGACTTGAACTGAACTGAACTGAACTTATTACTTAGTGATTTTTAACTACGGATTAGTGATCTTTGATTATTTATTGATTATTTATTACTATACATATGTGTATATACAAATGTACATATTATTATTATTATTGTTATTATTATTATTATTATTATTATTATTATTATTATTATTATTATTATTATTATCTCAAAAACAAAAGCCATACAACCTACAATAAATTAGTGGGAAGCCGAGATACAATCTGGGCCCCCACTCCTCTAGCTATTGCAAATCCTACCCTAGTGAAGATATGAGCTGCAGCACGAGCCCCAATGTCTTGCGTCGTCAAGAACCTTTGAGTCCGCTTCAGTAACGCAACAACCTCTTTCTCTAATTCCCCAAGCGAAGAAAAGGAGAAGGGAATGAAACCATATCCAATCGCCTGACATCGAGCTTCATACTTAACCCGCTTCCGATGAGCTGAATCAGCCACAACCCGCCCAGGAATGATGTCAGATAGCCCTGACTGTGTCAAAGGAGAAGACCCTGTCAAATCAACACAGACATCGCGACCACGATCCCATGAATAAAGTAACACATCCGCGGGTCTGAGGGCCTCGTCGTTCCCTCCGGCCAACCCAATGTCAACCTCTTTTCTTGCTGAAATCCCAGAAAGAAAGCAAACATCAACAAGGGTATCCCGAACAACATTATTATTATTATTATTATTATTATTAATTATTGATTATTATTATTATTATTATTATTTATTTATTTATTATTATTATTATTATTATTATTATTGTTATTATTATTATTATTAATATTTATTGATGATTATTATTATTATTTATTGATTATTATTATTAGTATTATTATTTCAATTATTATTGTTATTATTATTATTATTATTATTATTGTTATTATTTATTGATTATTATTATTATTATTATTATTTTTATTTTTATTATTATTTATTACTTATTGATTATTATTATTATTATTATTATTATTGTTAATATTATTATTATTATTGTTGTTGTTGTTGTTGTTGTTGTTGTTGTTGTTGTTGTTGTTGTTGTTGTTGTTGTTGTTGTTGTTGTTGTTGTTGTCGTTGTAATAAGAGCTTAAAAGAATGAAATTTGGCTTTATATCATTAGCAATATCATTAGACGTAAATTAAGAGTTGAACTGAACTGAACTTTTAAATTAAATGAATTTGAAAAGAAAAGTTTTTTTAAAAATTCATCTAGTAATTTCAAAATTGGAAAAATTAATTGAATTTGTTCAATTAATGACTGAACAGTGAAATCCCTTAAAATCCTTCACACCGCTTCATTAATTATAAAAGGCTGATTTCACCCACCTCTTTCACCTCACTGTCAAATCAATTAACCCCTTCTCAGTAAAAAATCTCTTGAACTTTAAAACCTTCCCTAAAACAACAATGGTGATCATTGCTGAAATTGTCTCATCAGAAAACTCTCAACACTCCGAAAACACCATTCAAGAAGAAACATCTCCTCTAGCCATGGTGAACTACAAATCATCTTCTACCTCAAATAAAACTCTTGAAAACCCTAAAAACCCATCTCCGAAACCTAAAGAAGTAGACAGTAAGAGTGATCAAGGAGAATCCTCTGTCTCAAGTATTCTTCAACGGCTAAAAGAGTGGAAAGAGAAGAAACAAAGTGAGAAGTCTCTTGAAGATCAAATCGAAGAAGTTGACGAGTTTGCTTAAGGAAAAAATTCAGAAGAGACAAAAGAGGAGGACGAAGAAGAAGAAGAGATGAATGAGGGAGAAGAAGATAAAGAAGATCACAACAATTCAGA